TACTTAGTCGTCCGTTTTAAAGAAATCAAGAGGCTGTAGTGGAACGCTTCTACGAAGAAAATACGATTTGTGAAAAATAAACATTATTGTGCTCGTTTTGTTTGATTGTACCAAAAACACTTCTTGCGCGCAACGTTCTCTTCGCGTTGCTGCCATTTTTCTCTACTTGCTGTTCCCGATGTAATGCCTAATTTCTCCTTCAATAAAATACTCAACCATGGATTTATTTTGATATACGTGACGGGACAGTATGGAACATTTAGTGGTGAACATAGACAATCTCTCACCACTAAAAGGCTATTTCCTACCTCCTTTATTAATTTACACGACGCTGTGAGTTGAGTATGTTCTGAGTAGTGGTATTTTTTCAGAACAGGTGACACCATTTTCTCGACAAAAAGCTAAGCTCAAGCATTTCAAAGTAGTCTTCCTATTTTTTATCCCTATATTTTTATTTATCATTTGAATGAACCAGAAGATCTCACTGGGGAATTAAATGCAACCACAAATTATCTATTTTATCTATTTATTGACATTAAGTATTTTAGGTTTTTTTCTGTAGAATATAAGTGTTGTCAAACAGTTGTAGTGGAATACTTTTATGAAGAGAACGCGATTGGTTTAATGGAAACATTTATTATTGTAACCAATTGTACCAGTGCTTGTTTTACTGTACCACTCTGTTTAATTGTACTCAAAACACTCAGCTTCCTCTTATCGTGACTTTGGTTGTGTTCACGTTTTCTCGGTAGCCTCTTCTGTATATTTTGACACAATCTTGGTATTATTTCGATACCATGAGATTGTCAATAAATACATCTTAACTACATTCACAACTGGCTTTCTGGTTTCTGCCTAAGGAGGGATTAAACTTGGCTGTTGGCGTTATAGTGTCTACGCACGCTATAATTAGTGAGCGACGACTTTGGACACGTATCAACTGCTGCCAAGAAAGCCAGTTGCGGTGAACCTATTATTTATCTATCCAAATTTAGTAATTTTTTTTGTCGTTGCATATATCATATCAATACATTTACATATGTATATTATATTTGCTACAACTTTCCGAAAAGGTGGATAGACTAAAGAATAACGATGATATAACAGACTCCCAGATACAGGTTATTAACTTCGACCTGTTTCTTTCACTGCGAAGTCGTGCTGCTGACTGCAGAGAGATGCGACTGCAGTAAGCTTTTGCCGTCGGACAACTAGCATTTGCAGCGATGCTCCCTTCTCACAAGGAAGGAAGGTTTAGAAATGGTCGACCCTAAAATTTTCGCACCTCACCCTACCTCACGGATTTCCGCTCTGGAAACAACACCTTGAAAACGTCTCATAAAAAGGCCGTGCGTGACCGGCCAGAAGCAGCTGTCCCTTGGGCTCTGTCGTCACTCTCTCAGGTATCTAAGACCAACACTAATCTACCTTTCCTTTAGGGTTCTTTGAGAAACACGAATGCACGGTGTGGGCAGCCGAGACATCCTCCCTCGTACCCGTAAAAGTACATGAGACGAAATCTGCTACAGTCAAAGACTTTCTGCACCCCTTAACATCTCTCTTATCTACACGTCTCACCTTCCTCGCATCCTTTTAACACCCAGCACAGCTATTGTAAATGACTCGACTTCATGAAACGTTATTCATGGTCACCTTAAACCCCATTCTAGACCATATGTAGAGCTTTTAATGTACGAACATTGTGTCAAATAGGGTAACAAGGTTCATTAGCTGAGACATCAGAATCTCGCTGAATCGATGTATGCTACGTCTCGGAAACGCGCATACAGGATCCTAGTAAAATCATTAATTTGATTTCGCCTTGTAAAAATAATGAAGCAACTCGATTTACCCTTCCTGTATCTGGTAGCCCTGATGCTGCCACCCAGGGTTTCACTTGTGAAGTTATAGCATTGGGTCGTAGGGCAGAACTATCTCTCCTAGACTGGATCGGAGTAGAAAGTAGCTTGTGCGCTGTCTGACTGAAGGGGACAGTAAGGACTCGGAAGGAAAGAGACACCTGTCATTGCCTCTTCGCTGTATCTGCCTATGTTCCCACTGACTGCAGTTAAGACGAGGTGAAAGATGAGTTTTACAGAAAGATTTCGGACCTCTTCCAAAAAGCTAGGCACTCTGATATAGTAATAGTGGCTGGTGACTTTGGTGGTCAAGTAGGGAGACCAAGTGAAAATGAAAGACACCCTGGTGGATCTTATGGTGTCGCTGCTGATCAAATAGATAATTGCGACTGTCCGCTACATCTACGCTCAGATAACTTTCTTCTTCTGGCAGCACTAACTTTTAGCATAAGGAGAAACATCTTTTGACCTGGCGACCTCCAAAGCTGACAATCACAGAGGAATCAGTTTAACTAATATAGTGTCTAAATTGTTGGCCTACATTATACTTAGACGGCTTAATAGAGCTTGTGAAGAGCAGAATAGGGAAAACCAGTCTGGTTTCAAACCTGGACGTGGATGTATAGACCTTATTTTCACGCTACATCAGGTCTTGAAACTCAGACACATATTTAGGCATCCCACTATTTTCGTCTTCCTGGGCCTCAAAGTGGAATTGAGCACTGTTGATCGTGATGTTCTGTGGCAGTGTCCGTCATTGAAAGGTGTACCAAAGAAGTGAGTTAACCCTATAAAAGCTCTCTACTCGAACACTACTGGTCGAGTGATACCTTATGGCGAACTGTCATCGGAACTGATTACTCCAAGTGGTGTCCATTAGGGCTGTCTACTTTATCCATTCTTGTTTAATTTTGTCATAGACCTGATCCTAGATATAACATTAACTTCGTCTGACTATTCAGGAGTGGACCTTATACCAGAAGACTCGCATGTGGACTTGAAATATGCGGATGGCATAGTTCTACTTGATGAAGACGCTGATTAAATGCAGTGACTGCTGACTACCTTAAGCAACAACGCAAGCTTGTTTGGGATGCGGTTCTCCCTGTCGAAATGAAAAATATTGTTTCAGAATCGGCTCGTATTGGCACCAGAACTAACTCCAAGAAGTGAAGTAGGTGGGCGTGTTACCATCTCACTTATCCTGGAAGTCTCATCAGTAATGATAGCATGGTGTTTGAAAAAATCTCAGCACAGATACAGAAGGCTGATTGACCTTTGCGAACTTTCATCACAAAGAGTGTAGTTGAGATATCCATTTGCTAAGCAAATACGAGTGTAATGCACAGCAGTTCGCTATGTGTTACTATGACTATTTTTAATTCTCTTGATGTCGACTTCCGATTTTCGGCGTAATTTGTTGTTTGTTCTTTCGCTTCTCTTTTCACCTTGAAAGGCGGCTTGTCTTGTGGCACAGTTTGGTGCTTCCCGCAGTGTTTGTTCTGTCCACCTCCCGCAATTCTTCCTGATTTCCTCCTCCACCTGAATCTGCTTTGTTCTCTCCTACAGTAGGTTGTTGCAGACGGTGTCTGGCCAACGAACCCGGAGTATCTTGCGTAGAAAACTGGTAGTAAACACTTGTATCTTCTGGATGATGTCGTTCGTATTTTTTCAGGTTTCCACCGCATACAGTAGAACTATCTTGACGTTTGTATTGAGAATTCTGAATCTGGTGTTGGATTTATTCAGCTTACCATCAACATAATGGGATCACACTACCGACCCTGAAATGGAATAAGTCTTGTAAGATGAATAAACAAATTGGGAATTCTTTACCTTCTGCTTTCTTTGTTTTCCAAATTTTTCACTTCAAACTTAATTCAGCAGACTTCTCTGCCTCATCACAACCACTTCTCATCTCCTTCACTCTCACCCGTAATCATCATTGTAGTCCACTTTCAAATATTTGACTATCTGAATTCGTCAGCAACTAGTTAAGTAACTATTTTTACAGGGTCGTCATCAAAGTGACGAGCGATCCCTTAAATATAGTTTGCGTGATACGAATTCCAAGGATAAACACTGTCAGTTGATACACACAGTCCTAAAGGTATTACAATTTGTATGTGTCAATACAGGTCACTTGATTCCATATCTTCACCTTTAAATGATGAATTTCAATATACTTTGCTACCAAGTGACTTCGATATTCCTGATATCTCCACCTATGTATAATGGCACCACAGGAGGTATTGAGAGTAAAAATGTGACTGATGAATTCAGGTTGAGTGAAAACATGGTCAAGGGTACACATTGTTGGGTGAACGTAAGAGCACAAATTACCCATTACCAATAAAAGGATGGTTGGGGTATACATAGACAAAGAACGCGCTTCAAAGTACACGATATGGCCGACAAGGTCTCAGATGACAGAGCAAGTACGATGGTACAAAACACCTAGGTCTGGTAACCACAGAAAGCTTTGACACCAGATGAAGATACACAGGGACTGCAACCAGGACAAGCAAATCTCTTCAATTCATGTGGAGACAACTTGGCACAGCGATCCTAGAATTGGTAAAACATAGCTGAATTGATCACAACCCATTTAGTAGATATTTTCAACAGGAGACTTGACACATAAATGCTCACACATAGGCTAGCATTTCTTCCTGTGACTGTCTGTCCCTGGTGTTTAACTTGTAGCTTGACCCTTACTAACAAATATTGCATCATTCGCTGATTCCTACCTCATTACTTATTCTCTGCATTCCTCCTTTTTTACCCTTTGGTCTTCTCACAGTGTAAGAATTACTAATTTATCTCTTTATTTGGTTGTTGAAGCAGTCTTATCACAGATCATGATTTTATTGGTATTAATTTTTACATTGTAACCAGCAACTTCCTGCCTGGAAATATAATTGCTACTGGTTTCCAATATCCTTAATGCTTTGAGAATAAACACTCGCTCTTGAATCATCACAGATCCATAAATAAATACCAGACTGACTGGGATTAGTACACTAGAATGGTTGTAATACCACCCATTAGATACTGCCAAAGAAGGAGAAATAGTAAAGAAACCAGTCGATTTATATAAGCTTGTGTCAAGAATATTGAATATTGGATGCCTTCTGACCTCTCAAGGTTGTTTCTAGTACTACTCGGTACTTAAACCTTTCGTCACATGGTTCTGTTTAAATTGTTACCCTGACAGGTTAGTTATTCTTTGAAGTTGGTTCTTTAGTCGCGGTTTTTATCAATTTATATATATATGTTTATGTATAATCCATAGATTTAACTGCAATAAATAGTCACTTGCATTGCGAATCCAAAGGACTAAATAATATACGGTTCATGTATATAGGCTAATAATTTTTGAGCTTTCAAGTCTACTTAAAGTGCATGTAAACCTTCCAACCGATTAACCATGATATTTCTAATCCTGTCTGTTCCGTCAGAACGTGTGTTGTACTAAGTTCTCACCGATAATATTTACATAGTAAATCAGCAATGCAAGAAGCAAAATAGTGTATAATAGTATCCGTAGCAACTAAAAGTCAGCTTATTAGATAAAATAGCGACGTGTATGATCGAATTTCGAACCGCTTGCACGTCATCTACCTTCGTAGATCTAGTTTCTCAACCATGAAGAAATACAAAGCATACTGTTTTTCACTAGACATTGTACATATTGACTTTACCATAGATAGAGCGAGCTAGGGCAATATAAATAGTCCTTCTCTATTTGTTCCAAAGTTTCCTCAGTTATCTGTTCATCAGGGTAAATGACGATCGCATGGTAGGTGAATTAGTCAACACTAATATAGATACTATAAACATGAATAAAAACCAGCCCCAAGAGAACATTTAGAAGGAGAGAAACGCTTCCCACCTAGTCTTGGACCCTTGATAAATGTGTTCAGGTTATTCAAGATCATCCAGCAACGGTTTTTATTTATTTATTTCAAACCAGAGAGTGAATATCCAGCAGGAAGTTACTGAGTTTAAAAACCACTCCTAGTAACATATTAAAGTAAAATAAACCTTGCCGTCTAAGTAACGTTCCCTGTATTAGTTTGCTTCAGTATCTAAGTTGCCTGCTGCACCAACACTCCTGAATTATATTTCGGCTGATACCACTCCACGGAGCTCCCAATCGAGTCAGCATATACATGGGTCCACCTGTCTTACATGTCTCTTGAGTAATTTTAGCCTTACATTGATAAGTATATTACAGATGCTTCAGCCTGGGATATTTGCACCGGTAACTATGATCCTGGTATTTTAGCTTATTGTGTTGTTGTATAAACGGTATAGTAATAGCTGGGACCACTCGTTTTATTAAAAATGGGTTGATATCTGTACTTGTGTAGGGATTAACATTCGCCAAGGTTTCATTTATGTTTTAGAGAATGTCACTGTGAAAACATCAACTACCGATAAAAAAGATAACTCAGAGAAAGTGGGTGGCAATAAGGAGTGGTAAAAAATATGGAAAATGATCACTGGTATTCAGAAACATTCTATGTATGCATGTGGGCGTCAAAGCAATTTAACTCCTTATATCTTTCAGGAAGCAAGTAGGAAGTCCACTCTCCCTCTCCAAATGCATCCATGTGACTACGCGTATGTAACCACTGTCAGGAAAGTCCTATTCACTGCCTTTTTGTGGCCAGAAAGTGGATGTCCGACTGGGGTTTAAGCCAGGTTGGTGGGTACAGGGAGTCCACCTGAGGGTATTGGAAAACCCTGGTTCCAGGCCAATGGAGAACATGGACTCCAGAATTCTGAGGTCACGAATGGTCTATGCACATATTTTTGGTCATCAACTACTATGGGACTGCATCTGATACTTCTCCACTGCCTTGTGAATTAGATCGGTAGGTCAAAGGCTTGGAGAGTAGCTTCCTACAAAAACCACCAGCTGTGATTTGCGCACCTGTGTAGTATCTCAGCCTACGCATAGACTCGATAATTTGTGAAGTACATAAATACCTAAGTGCTTGTTTGTATCAAGAATTATTTGTTTCAACATGTAAATGAAATAAAACACTTAGTGCTTACCACTGCTAGCTTTAAAATGTATTATAATTAGTGTTTGTATACTTAAAAACTGCTATGGCCAGTGAAAAGTGAACTTTTCAGCATTTTGAATTCCTCAATTTTACCGCATCTTTAGAAATCTTTACAGTAGACCAAGTAAACTGTCCGTCATTTTGTACCAGGATTTAAGGTTGCATAAGCAGCTTCTTTACTTTGTTGCTACCTTGATACAAGATATGGGCGAACTTTCTGAGACAACCATCAAGTAAAATAGTGAGTCACTGAATATAGGTGGTCGGGCACAAACATTCTCACTGACTCTGTGTATATTCGACCTTTTATACGCAGGCCAATATCTCGAAAGCTGTAAAAACAACTGGTATAAGTCGCTCAGGTTTCCACTCTCCCTCGGTTGACTCCATATTTCACGCTTTTGTCAGACTGTTAGGATATTCACCAAATATCCTAAGAATACTATTTTTAGAACTGCAATCTTATTGGTCGAATTCTATTGGCCGAAATTTTGATCGTTCTTACCGTCAGGGTCAAATACTTCAATGTTATCTCTTATTGGTCATCTGGACGGTCAATGTCATTCAAATATTCTTTTCTATTGGTCGTCCTAAATTGTCAATGTCACGGACGTTGATGCTTTTTCTTATTCGACCTTAGTGTATAAATACGCGCTATCTGGAAGACTTAATAATTCCGTTTCCCCTGCCTACTTCTTCTGTTTACGACCCAATAAACATCTTCCTGCCACGGTGTTACGTTCTGATTTCTAGGAGATTTGGGAAAGCCTTTGGGTCGTTTTGTGATATTTGAATTGGACGCCGTTAGGACTGAAGAGTTACGTAGCCGCGTTTACAACAAATTTGGCGACGGGTTGGTGACTAAATATGGATCCAGCTACATTAGAAAAATTGTTTGCACAGCAGCTGAAGCTGATGGAGATGCTTACTCAGACGCACATCTCTTCTCAAGTCTCATCTACACCAACAATTCCTCAGTCAGTTGATGGTATGACCAGTAGTATTTCTGAGTTTCTGTATGATCCTGACGCCAATATTACATTTGATACTTGGTTCATGCGTTATGAAGATCTTTTCAAAGTTGATTTTGCTGACAAAGATGATTCCTGGAAGGTGCGTCTTCTCCTTCGAAAACTTGGTCCGTCAGAACTGGACAAGTATTGCAACTACATCCTACCGCAGAACCCACGTGACAGATCATTCGATGCTACGGTTCAGTCCCTCAGCAAACTTTTTGGGGATCAGCATTCTATTTTCAATACACGTTATCGTTGTTTAAAACTAGTCATGAATGAGTCCGATGACTTCTTGACCCATGTTGGCATTGTCAACCGCGAGTGTGAACGGTTCAAACACAGATCCCTTACTGATGACCAATTCAAATCCCTCATATTCACATGCAGTCTACAACCACCCAAATTCTCCGACATCAGAACTCGATTGCTTAACCGCCTCGAACAAGACCCAACACTGACACTCGATGCTATCGCTGATGAGTACCAACGCATCACCAACTTACAGTGTGACAACACTTTGGTTCAATCTGGGAGCCAGGGTGGTTCCGAAGTTCACGTTGTTCAGCAGCAGAACAAATCTTCTAGATCGAAAACCTTTGGTCGTTCGAATGCCAGTTCTGTTTCTAATCACTCAAAATCAACGCATAAGAAGCCCCCCTCACCATGTTGGCACTGTGGAGACTGGCATTACGTGAAATTTTGTCCATTCAAGCAGCATGTGTGCAATCGCTGTCAGAAAATTGGTCATAAAAGCGGTTTTTGCCAATCAAACAAATTCACTGGCCGGCGAAATTCACAGACGCAGCGTCGTTATTCCAAAAAGCCGTTTGCTGCATCTAGGAGTCTAGCAGCAGCCTTTCACACCGATGCTTCTGCTCGACGCAAATTTCTGACCCTCTCGATCAATGATCAGCTGGTTCGAATGCAGTTGGATACTGCATCAGATATCACTATTCTGTCAGAAGAGACTTGGCGAACCTTGGGTCAACCACGCATCAAACCATCATCGCAGATAGTTGTCAGTGCCTGTGGGGGTCACCTTCGTCTTCGTGGTAAACTTGATTGCTGTGTTTCGTTCAGAGATACAACCTTCAATGGAACATGCTATATCAACAAGTCTCCTCACAACCTTCTGGGGTTAGATTGGTTCGAAAAACTTGGTCTCGCTGATCTTCCCATCAATACTGTCTGCAATCAAGTAAAAACTCCTGCCGTTACACAACAGCATGCTGCAGATTTTCAAAAACGACTCACTAAAACGCTTCAGCCTGGTATCGGACTGCAGCCAGTTGCCACGCCTGAAGAAAATGTGATCTCAGATAACTTGTGTGACGTCACCATGCATGTCAAGTCCCAAGATAAAGCAGACTGGGGTGATGGAGAAAAACATGATAAAATAAACAGACAAAGATATTCACGTGACTCCATTCTTTCTTGTAAATCTTCAAGCGTCGAAGTGAAGCTAGTGAATGATAAGGATATCATGAAAAGCCTTTCAAATACCAAAAGACCTCGTGATCAACTAAGGCCAGGGGGAGATAAAGAGAAAGGTAAAATTACGAAGCGCCTCCCACTCTGTTTGCTGTTGGATACTTATCAAGTTCCGCCAATACCTCCAACAGACACTATCGAGTCATCTACTCAAACAGAACATCCTACAGCTCCAGAGATCTTATCTCCGAGGTGGTCGAAACGCAAGCGAAGAAAATCAAATGATTTCAAGTAAACCCTCGGCTGCGTCTCTGTTATGTATTTTTTTCTTTTTTTCTTCCAGAGGGAGGTGTTAGGATATTCACCAAATATCCTAAGAATACTATTTTTAGAACTGCAATCTTATTGGTCGAATTCTATTGGCCGAAATTTTGATCGTTCTTACCGTCAGGGTCAAATACTTCAATGTTATCTCTTATTGGTCATCTGGACGGTCAATGTCATTCAAATATTCTTTTCTATTGGTCGTCCTAAATTGTCAATGTCACGGACGTTGATGCTTTTTCTTATTCGACCTTAGTGTATAAATACGCGCTATCTGGAAGACTTAATAATTCCGTTTCCCCTGCCTACTTCTTCTGTTTACGACCCAATAAACATCTTCCTGCCACGGTGTTACGTTCTGATTTCTAGGAGATTTGGGAAAGCCTTTGGGTCGTTTTGTGATATTTGAATTGGACGCCGTTAGGACTGAAGAGTTACGTAGCCGCGTTTACAACACAGACACAGCTGTCCAACTATTTGAATCTTTTGATTATTTCCAATTGCTCATCGGAAAGTTAAGTGTAGACTCACAGTCTTGAGAAATTATTTTTGCAGCTTTATGTACATGGCATAACTACAAACCTCGATCTAAAATTCTTTAAGTGAGATTTAGCAGCCTCAATATTATCACACCGTAAGAATGTATCATCTGTACACTAGAGGAAAAAAAGTTCCTACAAGTAAAAAGTCTGCATTTCTACTCCCATTGTAATTGTACTTCTAAAATGTAACTATGGAGAAAGGAGATCGAATCTTCGCGTTTTGTTTGTGGTATTTTTGCGCTTGTTTCAAAATATAAGCCTCCCAAGTTCATCTCTCTTTAACATAAAGTCCCAGTACTAGCTAGTATCCCAATCTTCTGAATTCCTCATCACCTTTATCTCTTTCTTTTTAAGTTTATTTCATTAGATTCTAGTTCTTGAATGATATCATGGAACCCTAATCTCTCCGATTACTGCTGATGACAATTGCTTCTGTGTGTTAATGTGGTATGGCAACCTGAACTGATGTACGCATGTACGAAGTTGTACGTTGCAACTGACTGACTGACTGAGTACTAGCTAGTATGTTAAAATTGGCCTTAATACCCGGCAGAAACCATGGTTACGGTGCTGTTCGGGAATTCACTCGAGAGTTATGTCTATGGAAAATTTTACTCACCAATTTTTTGCATTATCTTGTCACTGAAGCCATCCATCTAGTGTTCTGGGGACTAGCTTTAAACCTAGTCCAATATGATATTTGGTTGTAATAGTAAATGCGTTCAATTAAGGTACATTATTCCTCTTAGGTTCTTAGGTCCTTTAATCACTCAAGAGAAGTTCAGCGCATATCATAGATCGCTTGAAATCTAAACAGTTACTTGAAAAAGAGCTCGGAGTCTTTTGCCACATTAGCGCCGTCAAATACTAATTTCTATCGGTTCAATTTTAGCTCGAACAAGTTCGCTTGTTTTCTTGATTGAATTAAAATGTATAACTGACTAACTGACTGAAAAACTCCAATCAATCAATCTTTTTGCATGTGAACTTAAAGAGAGCATGTTCCTGATCATACATAGTTCAACTTATTTTCGCCGAAAGTTAATTTTTGTAATCTTTGACCCAATATGCTGAATTCAAAGCACCAGATATTTGTTAAGCAAATGAATGACCAAATCGGCAGTGATTTTCGAAGCATATTTTCTGTTCGATAAAAAAAAACAATGCTTATCACCAGTTTCGATTGACCTTTTATTGCGTAAAAAAAAATAATTGACACTGAAAAATTTATAATATAGCAAGCAACAATGACTTCATTTTTTGCAGATACATTAGACACTTCAGATTATTCGACAATATTTACTGTTAAACAAGTTTATGGTTGAAAATAAAAGAACATCGGAGACATTATAAATTGTATTGGATATACAATGATGTTGAATCTATTTAATTTAATCCACACTATGTTTGATAATTAGATTTTTCTGTGACTTCGTTTTCTGTATGAAAAAATACTGACCGCTCATTGGTAATAAATGTCAGACTGTGTACATTACAGAAAACATACTATCTTATCCATAACTCTTACATTGCTATTCAGATTGTATTATTAGCAAACAAGTGTATATCTTAATATCATTCATTATTCAGGCAAAATAGACATTAATTATTGCTCTCTATACAACTATTTTATTTTATCAAGTATTTTTATCATCCTGAAATATGCATATTGATCTATGCACGCAGTTAGTCATTTCACTTGTCTCGCTTAGGATGGATGACTAGATTATTTTGGTTAACAGTTCAAAATATTTGGTTATTGTATTGAAGGGTTGCATCAATTTGTCTGTATTGTACAATGAATGAAGTTACTTCTAGATTTATTCATACTGGTTGGTCATTTTATGTATGATTAATAAAGCTGGCATTTTTTTAACATTTATCCAATTGTCTGTCAGATGCCTTCATTGAGTTAGTTGTTATAAGCAAGCAGCTAAATGCAAAATTTCATAAATTCGTATTATCGTCCAATTGAATGACTTGTACGTTCAATGATCTGTGTGTGTAGTGAATTTTGCTTGGTCACTAAAAAGTATAATACACAAAATAATCGTCATGTTTTTATCTTTCCTTTTTTTGCTGCAATTTACACAGGTTAATTATATTCAGCTTTCAACTATTTCGACATCGAAAACGTTTAGATTTCATATTTATCATTTCGTGTTTTGAGTGAATTCTATGTCAGAAGTCAAATTCACTAATGATGACCAAGATGGTGTTCCTTGTCCAGATTCTATTCCTTTGACAGTTGATAAAATAACAAAAAGTATAATTCATAATCTTAAAACACAATGTTCAAAAATTCTTTCTGGAAGCTGGTCTGATACAAATAATTTCTGTGTTGAACTATCTAAGTAAGCAAAACTAATCCCTATATATATTATTTATCCCTCATATATATACTTATATATACGTATACGGTCGATTTAATTAAGGGTTTAAAACAACTTTAATTAAATAATTTCCTCCAAATATGGGGAAAAACGTTTTCAAAAACACACAAGCATTTGTATATTTTGGTATTGTTGAGTTCTGTGAACTAGATAGTTTAATCGTGAAGCTTTCATTGTTGTTCAGTCAGGACTAACGTCAACTTCGCTATTAAACTACCTGGCTCAGAGAATTCAACAACAACAACAACAAAGAATCCACTTGAGCTGCAACTCTATAATTTCAGTGTTCAAACATCCTAATATTTCAGTGGTTTGTCACTTGAGTTAGTTGTCAAATATTCTACATTTAATTGTTCTACATACTTAGAGAAGTAAGTGCTACATCTCGCATATTTTAAAGATCCAGAATTAAATGAATCAGTAGTAATGTTTAAGTGAATACTGTTTCAGCCATTACGTTTAATTCATTTTGTCAGTGAATACGAATCGATTTTAATTCTAACTAGTTAGATCATTTGTTAGCAGAGTTAGGTATCAAGATCTGGATGCTGATAATTAAATCCCATAGTGATACTTCTACTATCTCTACCACTATGGGATTCGTACGGATAGTTGCATCTCTGTGCTGACGCGGTATGGCAACCTGAACTTATGTACTCAGGTAAGAAGTTCCACGTTGTAACTGATTGACTGACTGCTGTTACTTAAATCTCACGCTCTAAAATTTAATCATGATTTGAAATTAATTAACACATTCCTTCTGCTCTAAGAATTTGCAACACTATCAAAGCGACGAGTTTTGGATAAAAAAATTACCAATAAATGCTATCGCATAAATGAAGTAGCAGAACAATCCTAAGTTACAAAACATCTAGTTTGAGATGATCGATTTCGGTAAAATGCTCTCGAACCCCATTTATATCCCATTATAATACTTATTCTTCGGTTTTTTGACTATTAAACAGACAATCAATCAACTATTAAACAGTAAAATAATTAACATCTGTATTTAGAAACACCATATCTAGGATTCAATTTATATTCATTTTTGGCTCATGAATGTTCTAACCATAAGTAATGATTTTTGTTGTGTAATAAGAACTCTTATATAGAGTAAGGTTACAAATCTATTTGAATTGTAAGTTAAACGACTAATTGTATGGTCTGCTTACTATCTACTAATTGTAATCCCATATTTCGCAACTTCTTACTCGTTTGGGACTTAAATTGCTTGATGAAAATATCCATAGAGTAAATAGATTAATCTTTCTGACTTACACTTTTTTTCAGTACATTAAATTTGATTAGGATGAACTGTAACTTTTTCAGAAGGCAAGGAAAAATAATCTTTTTACAACTTAATTTAAGATCAAGTTTGAATCCTATATGGTCAATAGTTGTTTTGGATAACTCCAGTGAAATTACTTGACTAGACTTTAATTAACCCTTAATAGAGTTTAAAAGTTGATAGTTAAGTACTTAGATCATTAATTGCGATTATCTAATAAGGTTTGATCACAGCTTCTCCTATCGAAAAGGTTTGACATTAATCATTGTTAATAGAATTATTCGATCTAGTGGTGTTCGAGTTGTTTAAATCAAGCATATAAAATGAATATTTCTTCTGTATATTTTAATTTCAATAGAAAATTCCTAACTTGTATTAGCTCAACGTCTGAAATTGTTGAAGACAACTATGATTCACTTTGTTCCTGGGACACCCAAGTGAGAAACGCTGTTATTAGGAAACGGGTGCTGGGTAAGAATGGCAGATCAATAGATGAAGTAATGAAACTTCATCAGTTGAGGTGGTTGGGACATGTGTTGCGTATGCCTAACCACCGACTGCCTGGAAGAGCTTTGTTTTGTAGTGTAGGAATAGGTTGGAAGAAAGGTAGGGGCGGCCAAACCAAAACATGACAGAAATCCATGAAGTCATTGACGAGTGAACTTAGCCATGTCGGTAGTTGTTGACTACCTGGTTGGGGTCCGCGAGATGATAATAATCGATGGTTAGAGACCCTGAATGACATGGCTCAAAATCGTTCGCAATGGCGCCGGTGCATTTATTCTTTGTGTTCTCTCAAATCCTAATCTCCTGGATTCTTCAACACCTCTAGTTTTGACTGAGTCATACTCCTTGAATAATATCTTCTAATCCTAACCTCTCCGATTACTTCTAATACCTTTACTACCTCTTCTACTATTGTATTTGAATTGACAGTTATATCTCTGTGCTGATGTTGTATGGCAACGTGAACTGATGTACTTACGTACGAAGTTCAACGTTGCATCTGACTGACTAACTGACTGATGATTCACTTTGTTAGCTCATCTTTGAAGAAAACACAGTTTCTGTTTAGATCAATCGACAACACATTTAAAAAAAAGATGCTTGTATTAACTGAGTGTGAGTTAAAGGCTTCTTCAGGCTTAAGAGATACGTACAAAAACTCATTTTATCGATGTGGTTAAATATCACCTTGTGTGACTTCTTGATTCCTTAAATGAAACTATCTAAACTTGTCCATTTCAAATAAACTATATCAAAAGTAATTGTTCTCTATATGATATCTAGTTTAAATTGTCTCAGAAATTATTTACATCTTCATCATTTTTCAAAGTAGCAATTTATATAAAATCTAGCAAGATAATAAAGTTTATTCGAATGATGTGATTTATTAGCATGATACACCATTTCGAATAATCTAATTTATTTATGTATAAAAATGTAAAGGTCAAATTAAACAAACAAACAAACAAATAAAGATATTAAGGAAAAACACAAAATGAATCAAGATTAATGATATTCATGTTAGTTTACGTGGAAGTACAAACTGTTTTTCTTTTTTATAGGTATCAATTGTTTTTATAATGTATTATTGGACTTATACATTACATGACATAGTTTTAATGAACTTCATTGATCGATCATTCGACTGCGTTGTTTGGGTTGATTATAAAGAGGACTAACTGTTCGTTCTGAATATATGTGAAATATATATATATATATATCGATCAGTTTATCATCAATTGCGTCTAGTCAGCATGGATATCACATTTCCTTCTTATCACATTTAAATATATATTCCTTAATGACTCTATTTAAAGAAGTGTATTTTGATTTTTCAGGAGTTGTGGACTAAGTAATTACTTATATATTGGTTATTTAAATGATGATATTATTTCATCGGAAAATGAACCACGTAAAGTATTGATTCGAGTATATGGTGAAGTATTAAGAAGTTGTACAGATTCGATTATTTCGGATTCTGTTAATTTTGCATTGCTTTCGGAAAAAAGAATTGGACCTAAACTTCATGGTGTATTTTCTGGTGGACGAATTGAAGAATTTATTGAGGTAAAATTGATCAAATTTTTTTCTATTGCTAATTAGAAATAATGGTTTTTTGTTAATGCATTTTTTTTTGAACACTTTTGTAGTAATATTTCATTAGAGAAGTTGTATACTGTTTTACTCTCACTAGGTAGAGATTAGATCATTAATATGTGTTGGGGATGTTAGATCCCCAGAACTCGCTTGATGAATATCTTTATTTTGGATTTTATTCATTGGCGGACCAGTTGACCTTGAGATCACATTTCCCACCAGGAAGAGCCTTCAGTCAGTCAGTCAGTCAGATGCAACGTAGAACTTCGTACGTAAGTACATCAGTTCATGTTGCCATACCACATCAGCACAGAGATGTAATTGTCAATTCAAATCCAATAGTAGAAGAGGTAGTAAAGGTATTGGAAGTAATCAGAGAGGTTAGGATTAGAAGATATTATTCAAGAAGTATGATTCAGTGAGAAAAGTTTAGAAAGACAAAACTAGAGGTGTTGAAGAATCCAGGAGATTAGGATTTGAGAGAACACAAAGAATAAATGCACCGGCGCCATTGCGAACGATTTTGAGCCATGTCATTCAGGGTCTCTAACCATCGATTATTATCATCTTGTGGACCCCAACCAGGTAGTCAACAACTACCGACATGGCTCAGCCTTGGCTGTGATTGGTTGATGCATTATTTTAGTACGCTATTTTTGACTATCCCAAGGATGTTTCTATGCTGCATATATAAACACGATTTGTTTGCTTGAGATTATTGTGTTTGGGTGTTTGTAGAATATACTTTCTGCTCTATATCAAAAGTTTTCGTTAATCAACGGATTAGGGTAGCCTACCTGGACGCTGGTTCATTGTCTCGTTCTCGTTTATCGACTAAGGTGAACCCGTAATAGTTTCAAGCATACCTAGTGACAAGCATAACACTATGAGAATTATAGGAGCTTATTTCTAACTAATGATAGGCAACGCAAACCTTTCAGCCGTTTTTAACAGATGAGCATGGTAACAAAGGGAGGGCCAATCTTTTATAAGAAAGCTTTTATTTTTTCCAAGATAGGCAAAATAATTGTACACCTCTTCCATGAATAATCATCAGTATTGTTAACAGTAAAATTTACGGAATATGATGAATTCGTTCAATTTCAAGGAAATTTCATTCTTAATTGGTTTATCAAATTTGTTCAAAGTACAGCATATATTGTATCAAATGAATGATTTCTGCAAACAGTAGCTCTCTGTCAATTTTCAATAATTATTAGCTATTTTACTTCTTTTTTTTTTTTTCATTGCTAACCTTTTCAGTCCAGACCTTTAACTACACAAGAACTTCCATTGATTATAGAAGTAGCAGCTCGACATATGGCTTCGTTTCATAAATTATGCATGCCATTTTCAAAAACTCCATCATTCATCATTAAAATGTTTGATAAATATCTTAGTCAATTAACTAGTACACCTGAACATTTACATCGTCCATCTCCAAATTTTTCTTCAACTACTTTATCTGAATTAGCATTAGAAGGTTTTTCTTTTGCGAATGATGGACATATATTAACAGAACCATCGTATGAAGAGGCAAGACACATGGTATATGATTTATCTCTTATAGAAGAGTATAATTGGATAAAGTAAGTGTTGATTGTTTTCAAAATGTTTATAGACTCGTCTTAAAAACGAGTCTATAAACATTGGATTGGATTTGAATTGACAATTATATCTTTGTGCTAATGTGGTATGGCAACATGAACTGATGTACTTACGTACCAAGTTCTACGTTGCATCTGACTGAGACTCGTCCTAATTAACTATTAACATATGGTTATTTCATTCTATTATTTCTTAAAGTATTCAGTGTAATACTTTTGCAGCTCAACAAGAATACCTTTTTTTTTATCGTATCAGTTCACTCAACCATAACAAAAAACTTTATGCAACAGTATACTGAGATGCAAAGTTTGAAAATTGTTTCATTGTTCAATAAAATCAATCGGCTCTCGTGATACAGTCGATGTATGTATAAGTGACATATCCTTTTTTTGTATGATAAGGATGTGTCATTTGTTTAAGTGTCATTCATTCTGGAATTTATTTTACCTGTCAGGCAAAGAAAGTTGAATGAATATCTTCCATTTCATGATATTTGACTATCTAAGAGATATAGTTTTCTGTATTAAAAAGTTCATAGGCCAATCAATGTATCTTTAGCTTCAAAAAGGGATGCACATTCCATTGGGCTATTGAATCGTTATAATCAATTTTCTGTTGTTCAATAAAAGTTATCCCTAAGTAAATAATCCCGTTTGATTGTGTGATAGAGAATATGTGGAATTAATTATTCTTAACGATATTGTGGTAGTGGGAATGAAACGAATTCATTTTATCCACAAGTATTTGCTCTTTTTCTCATACAAAAGTTGGTTATAGGCATAGAGTAATTGTAAACAGTACATGTTGAATAATTAATTCTAAATTGATTTTTCAAAAAATTCTAAGTGATAGTATCAGTACTGCCAGTTTGTTTTCTAAGCAACAAAATCTGTGATTATGAGGTTGCTTATTTTTCTTTTTTTTTTAATGTGTATATGAAACTAATTTTAGTCCTGTCAGGCATAGTCAACAAGAAACCCTACTCGACTTAGGTTTTGTGTTAGTTGTTACTTGTCACCGAGTAGTAATGCACTTTGTAGGACTCACGTGTAGGACTCACGTGTAGGACTCACGCTATTGTCGCCCAGCTTCACAATCCTAGAAGTAATCACTATTCTGTCTGTGCTTTGACCTACCTCCTGTTGTAGGTTGAACATTTACGGTTAATTGATCATCGACTAGTAACTAATGTAATATTTAACTAATAATTTGTTGGTAACCGAATCCTGTTGTTCAAATTCTAAAGTAGATGTACTAGTTTAAGTGTAGAGATATTAGGGGGTCTAGGAAGGATTTGTTTGTGACCGATTTGGTCTCGCGTGCTATTACGGGTATGAAGGCGGTTGTCACTTCCCGGCTGCCCACACCATGGAAGGGTGTTTCTTGAGAATGTCGGTCTTAGAGACCTAGGGGTGTGACCGCAGAGCCCAAAGGACAACTGCTTGAGGCCGGTCATGCACGGCCTTTTTATGAAAGGTTTTTAGAGTATTAGCTCCGCTCTTTTTAAAGCCCTTATTGGGCAGCCCTTACCGCCGGAGACGGAGGTGTGAGGTGAGGTGTGACAATTTTAGGGTCGACTTTTTCTAACCCCTCCTTCCTTGTGGGAAGGCAGCATCGCTGCAGATGCTAGTTGTCCGAAGGCAAAAGCTTACTGTAGTCGCAGCTCTCTACAGTCAGCAGTACGACTTCGCCCTCAGACCTTGAGTAACTGCTTTTAGTCTCATCGTTCTCCAATTGACCTGCCTGGTATGGTAGAACCTTCAGGAACATATGTTCCAGCCAATATAGGTCGGTTGGGTCATCACGATAGGCAAGCTCGACCACCACGTCAAGGGTAGCAGCTACGGTCGGGACTACATATATATACTATTTTCTTTACAAGTTTATCTTTTTAAAAGCAACTTTTTGTTAGCCCAATAATCAGAAATGTGTTCATTTACGTGGGTTTTTTTTCTTGTTGTGTTGATTTATGATGATTTATTTAGAGAAAAATTTCAAGTTCGCTATGCTGATTTATTTCCAATTGTATTTTGTCATAATGATTTCCAAGAAAGTGAGTTTGTAATTTTCTTATATTTAATAATTATCATCTTATGGTTTGTGTGTCTCGTGACAATAATAATAATAATAAATTTTCTAACTCTACCTACCAAACCGTGATAAGTTACACCGTTTAGTGGATTAAACTCGAATTCATTAAGTCAATCTTTTATCAAACTATGTATCATATAGAACTACTCGAATAAATATAACGTTTATAGCTGATTAAAATAATTCAATCAACTAATAATGATTGTTTAATTGAAAGCGTGTATATTTATCTTACAAAGTTAGTTCTATTAGTGCTTTTTGGCTTAGTAAATTTCTGTTATTATTCATTAAATTGAATTTTTGTAAAGAAGTTTACAGTTCACATGAAATGTTTTATTGTGAGAATCAGTCAGTTGTAACGTAGAACTTCGTACCTATGTACATAAGTTCATGTTGCCACACCACATTAACACAGAGACCCAAATGTCAAATCAAATACCGTAGTGATAGAGATAGTAGAGGTATTAATGGTAATGAAGAAGACCAGGGTTCGAAGATATTATTGAAGAAGTATAATTCAGTGAAATTAGGTTAGAAAGACAAAGGTAGAGGTGCTGACGAATCCAGAAGATTAGGATTTGAGAGCTCACAACGAATGGATGCACTTGCGCCATTGCATACGATTTTAAGCCATGTTGTTCAAGGTCTCTAACCATCTATTACTATCATCTCACTGGCCCCAACCAGGTAGTCGACACCTACTGACATGAATCAGTCCACTTGTTAGTGACTTCATGGATTTCTTCTATGTTTTGGTCTGGCCGCCCCTAGCTTTCTTCCAACCTACTCTTACACCACAAAACATAACTCGTCGAGACAGTCGGTGGTTAGGCGTTCGTAACACATGTCCCAACCATCTCAACTGATGAAGTTTCAGCACTTCATCTATTGACTCGCCATCCTTACCTAATACTCGTTTCCTAACAATAGCATTGCTTACTCGCGTGTCCCAGGATATAAGAGCAATGCTTCGGAGACATCTGTGATCGAATACTAGCAACCTACGAACATCTACTCTTAACGGCCATGTTTCGCATCCATATAGGAGAACTGAGCGAACTACTGCGCAGTACACCCGTCCTATTGTGAGAATGGTGAACGTGTATCTACTTTTTCAATAATAATGAAGAAAATATTTGATGAATTGGTTATATAATTGATGTAGTAAGGCAGTTGTAGATCCTATCGATGGATATTGGAGACGACGTTCTCAAAAATCAACTAACTGGGTATATTACTACGGCCTCATAATAAGTATTCTACACTAACCACTTAAAGGTACATATCGAGGTAATGTACAGATCGATTCACTTATCTAAGCTAATATATACATTCATTCATTTTTATTCTCAACCACTGCCTACTTTGACATGCGATGTTTGTTTGGTGTAGGGGATACCAAACCGGGATGGAGCCTCAGTTAATGAATCCATTGACTGATGGACTGAGCTATGTTCAGACTATCTGGTTATTGTCCATGCGCTTGTCTCGATTGATGATAGGCAGTTGCGTCTCTGTGCTAATGCGGTATAACAACCTGAACTGATGTACGTACGTACGAAGTTCTACGTTGTAACTGACTGAATGATGAACCTCAGAATCGGTGAAAATGACACAGATGTATTCACTCTTTATCTTCCCTTAAAACCTGGGTTTTAAATCTATCGCATACTGTTTATTCGGTGAATTCATTCTTTATTCTTGAATCAAATTGCTTATGCCTAATCTTTCTTACTGATACTGTTACTAGTTTTACTGCTGTTGCATTTGTCTTGATAACGTGATTTCACTCTCCCGATGTGAAATGGTGAGCCATTCATGAGCCACTTATGCTCTAGGTCCTATGTTACTGTTGACTAACTGTCTGACTTATTTCTTACTCAGCTAGTTATCAAAATCCTTCATCGAATGACATCTGGTGTATTAAAAACAGAGCGTCCTGGTATAGTTTAGTGAGAAACACATGGGAGTTCGTGTGTGAATAAACTATGAATACATACGACTGTGTATGCCAGACAAATAAAACTGACTGGAATACGAGGAACATGAGCGTTTCTTTGTTCTTATTTGTAATGATAATAATTGCAGTAATTGTGCAGTGTTCGAGCGTAATGAATGTAGCATGCAGTTGTTACATATGCGTAAATAAATAAGATGAATGCATAGACGTTATGGCAAAGCTCATTGATCAAGCTATTGGGTATAATAAAAAAGTTTTGTCGATATTATCGTTTAAAAAATTGAAAACAATGATTGTTGTATTATACAAATACGATGAATGAACATTAGATGCATATCGAGGACCACTAATGAGTGTATGACTCTAAACTTATGTCTATGATAGCGTTGCAAACCGTTACCAGCGTTGGGGTAGTCGAAAACATGTTATTATCAGCATGCAAGACGTTCGCTCGACTGCTTAGACTGATGGTTCGTGTCCATACGCATGTCGCCGCCATACTACCAATTTACTTAGCAGGTTTCAAAATGTTCAGAGTACGAGCAGCCAATCAGTACATCAGATATGTCTGCCACGTGATATTCATAAAGCCACTGTTGTGATAAACGATTCAGAATATAATAATGAGATACGGCGATAGAAATGGAACAAGCTTACTTTAAGCAAGAATATTAACATGACGAGTTGATACATGAAAAGAATAACGATTAGATAATACGATTTTTGTATGTGCATATCCTCATAGAACTGGCTTCGTTGCGTACGTTGAATAAGAGATTGTGTTGTCTGATACGTTGATTCATTGAGTTCGAGAACTTCTTTGTCGCCACAGTTCTGCAAGTTGCACATTGTTCAACGTCGGACTCACCATTTTAGTGGCTCATGTTAAATTTGAAGTAGGGTTCACCAATTTAGTGGCCGGCAACTTGACTCCATTTGTGGACGAATGATCGAGTATGCGATGAAAAAAATCTTCCTTTTCATTTCCGCATACTATAATACTTGAGCATACTCGGTGGTAATAAGAAGCCAAATAGGGTTTCGCGGAGAAATTTATTTCGTGCATTCTCGTTTAAGCAGACAGATGTGAGAATGAAAAGGCGTCCAAGCAAAGAGAAGCGAATTGGAGAAGGCGAGTCGACCAACTCTCATGCGCTACAGAATGACTAAGTATTTATAGTAATAAGCAGTAATAAGCGAGTAAGCGCATGCACACACACAATTAAATAGTCAATAATCGATATTGTTATAGAATTATTACAAATATGAGAAGTGGTTGATGCAGTTATCGAATAATTCAAACAACCAAGCATTAAAGTTTGTATAGTGAATAAATGATGAAGTGCTACAAGTTCTTAATTATCTTGATATAGCTTCTAAAAGAATGTCTTGTGCGTGCTTGCTACTTAGTTAAACCAAATAGATACTTCTTTTCAGGCGTTAATTAGATAGCGTTATGTAATAAGGATTTTGTTTAATGAGACTATTTCAACAAATTAGTTGTAATGTTTCTTTCAATGTATGTAAATTAATTATACAGACGTCGCGTTTTCGAATTTTGAATTACTACGTAGTATCTCATTGACTTGCATTTTAAGGATGGATTTTGTTGTTGTTTAAGAGTGTCTTCAGAATCTATTCAACTCACATGTGAGTTCACACACTCGGAATCGAGTCACACATTGTTGCTCCAGAACTAAAAGTACTACCTGGTTATTTAAACCTAAGTTAGTAATGCAGAGTTCGAACATGCAGTTTTAGAGTTGCAAGTATAGGGAGTGAAGTAGTCGGGCGTGTCGACCGCCTCACTTATCTCGGGAGTCTCATCAGTGCCGATGGCCTGGTGACTGACAAAATCTCAGCACGGATACAGAAAGCTCGATTGGCTTTTGCCAACCTGCGTCACCTATGGCGCAGGCGAGATATCCGTTTGCTAACCAAAGGATGAGTGTACTGGGCAGCATTTCGCTCCGTCCTACTTTATGGCTGTGAAATATTGCTAGTCAGAGTAGAAGATGTTCGTAGGTTTCTTGCTTTCGATCATAGGTGCCTCCGAAGCATTGCTCGTATACTGTGGGACAACCGAGTAAGCAATGCTGTTGTTAGGAAACGGATACTAGGTAAGGATGACACATCAATAGATGAAGTAATGAAACTTCATCAGTTCAGGTGGTTGGCACATGTGTTACGAATGTCTAACCACCAACTGCCTCGACGAGTTATGTTTTGTGGTGTAGGAATAGGTTGGACGAAAGCTAGGGACGGCCAAACCAAAACATGGCACAAACCCATGAAGTCATTGACAAGTGGACTGAGTCCTGTTGGTAGGTGTCGACTACCTGGTTGGGGTCCGTGAAACGATAGTCACCAATGGTTAGAGACCTTGAACGATATGGCTCAAAATCGTTTGCAATGATGCAGGTGCATTTACTCGTTGTGTTCCATGAAATTCTTACCTTCTGAATTCGTCATCACCTCTATCTTTATCGCTGTTTAAATTTACCTCACTGAATCATACTTCTTGAATAACATCTTCGAACCCTAATCTCTCCGATTACTTCTAATACTTTTACTACCTCTACTACTATGGGATTTGAATTGACAATTATATCTCTGTGCTAATGTTGTATGGCAACTTGAACTGTTGTACTTACGTGCAAAGTTCTACGTTGCTGTTGATGATAATTATGATGAGAGTCGCAAGTTAAGAATATTGCTTAGTTTTGTGAGAATTTCACTGGGATCACGAATCAATCTCAATTAGACAACTACTAGACTCTAGACATCTGTTTCGTCCCAGTGTGGGGCTCCTCAGCAGTGCGTACACACAGTCTCACCCTTTGGGATCAAGCCTAGCACTCTTGATTTCTCACACGAATTCACAATCTCCAAACAAATTAGAGTCCACTGATGCACAAGTCTATTTTTAATCGATCCACGATATTGTCCCTCATTACATAATTTCCTCACACTCCATACAACTGAAGTTCATTCATTCATAAGAATTGGCAAAATCAGCTTACGACAGTTATGAGCAACTTGTAACTACTGTAACTAACAACAACAACCAAAACATTTTTTTCTGTGAATTATGATTAGCATGTGTTAAACACTATACATCTATGAAATCTAATGACACTAATGACTATTGTTTAGTCAAAGTAAGACCAACAAAACCATTTCAACTTGTTACGCTATTGTTTTTATGTCACAAGATGATGATTACATGAAAAAAACTGTATCCGAAAACATTGGTATTTTGAACCATGTAAAAATATACACTTTACA